TTCAGTCACGCGAGCTGACGTCACGCGACAAAGTTCCGTGGTTCCAGTAAAGCAACAGAGCACAACAGACTAGACATCTGAAGTAGCGTTAAAATCCTATTAATCCGACCCTTTAACAAATTAAGTTCCATGAGGGTCTCAATGAGGCGAAATCGTAAAAATGCTAATTTGCATGAAGCTTATCTGTTAGATAACAGATACGAAAATATTTTAGGAGTCAGTTGGGATGGTGAACGGATTCAGTTTAGATAAAACTCCGTGGACGACATTGTAAGCGCAATATTCCGAGTTGTGACGGACGTTAACTCGCTATTTGCTGATCCTTGTTGAAAAACTGCTCTGATTTCATCAGTAACAAACAGTTAAGAGTTGAACACTACAGTGGTGTGAATACTGAAAATGAACATTATTTTTAAAATAACTACTTTAGTTGCCTTGTATTTTGGCAATGTACAAATGGAAATATTTTAGCGTATCTTAACATCTTGATTGGTTTTAGTGTTTTAGTGAGGCTTAGATAATTCTATTATTTCATTTTTATTTGTCCCCATTTCATGAGTGGTTAAATTTTCGAAAATTTAAGGTGGCTCTGAACCCTTTAGACAGAATTTTTTTAAACTTTCCAGAAAGTTGTATCTCGTCATGCTTATCGCAATTTGATGATAAAAAATGGGGGTCATCGAGCTCGTTTGCGAGTTATAAGCATTTAAAGCTAAAATTAAGGGTGCGTTTTTAACAGTTGTACTGTCAGCTATGTACCCTATTTTGCCATAGAGAGCATTGGTTCACCAATGGCTGGGCATTTTTGTGATAACAATACTGTAGCATCACTTCATAAACAGAGGTAGTACTGATTTATCTGTCAAAGCATAGCTGTTAGAGGTGTTGAAAAATCATCTGTAACAGAAAAAAAATTGGTGCTTTTAGGTCACGCTACTTTAAGTGTGTTTGTTTACATAAGAATTGGTCTTGTTGGTCACACTATTTAAGTGATTGCGTTGCATATCAGTATGAACTTTATGTTCCAGGTGGCAGTCGACAATAAAGTTGACAGACTGCACTTTAAAATCCTTTGGGCATGCTTTAAGCACTTGGTTCTAGAAAGAGTAGTTCCATAAGGAGAGCGTGGAATTATCCGAAACAAATTTACATATTTGTAACTAGCGTAAAATCACTTTATGTCAAGTAATATTAATCAATCATTTAAATTAAATTAATTTGTTAAGATTTTCATCAATTCAAAGCTTATCTTGTTTTATGTCTTAAAATTTCGTGACATGGTTTCTTTAAAATGCCCAAAAAATTAGATTGTCAATGCAGCTACAATTTCATTATTCAATCTCTGTTACGCGTAAAGTAAGCAGTAAGAGATAAGTGAGAGAGACGCCAGAATTGCCATGGCCTCTTCTTCTATTTAGGGCATCTGGGCATGGTGAGTTCTTAAAATTCTTTCCGACTTTGACGTACAAGGAAATTAGCAATTCTAGCGAGGAACGATAAAACTAATTAGTTTCTGTCATAAAGATAAGGTAGGTTATGGCCTGGTTATAGGTAGAGGAATGTAAAAGATTGAACAGATATCCATGAAAGGGTGATTGAACGGATGTCTTTGTGTATTAAACTGAATACGCCATGCCAAGTTACCTTTTGCCCGTCAAGTCTTAAGGCAAAGCCATTCATTTGAAAGTGCATTTTCATTATGTGAATCAAACGTGTTTTCGTAGGAACATTTCATTCATACCAAGAGATCTAGAGCTTTGTATGTAGAGGATTAAGCTCGATTTGAAAGAGGCATGCAAAAATTCTGAAATGACCCATTTGTCACCCTGGCCAAAACTTGGAGCTGGTGTTTTTTTCATAAAAATCTTTGCTCCTCAGAGATTTTTCTCTTTTTCTCTTTTTTTCAGTTTTCTTTTCTTTTTTTAAAAGCTTAGTCAGACTGGGTTTCACGACACACAAATGCGAATAATAACCGGTTAATAATTTCCGATATCGGATTATGTATCGTATCGGATAAAAATCACTCCTTAGCAAAGATAAAATTTTCTTTTAATCGAACAAAAAGGCATGTTACAAATGATCTAGAATATTGCAGATTTTCGGTTCACTGGCTTGTAATGAATTCACTGATTAGCGAGGTTCCCTCCTCAATTTCGCACCACCCTCCCTCCCCCGATTCGTTAAACGTTTGAACCCATAAGACATTGTATCTTCTAACTAAGTCTTCGGTTATGAAATGGAAAACATGGCTTAAAAAAAAACCTTTTCGAACAAACCTATACGCACATCGACTCTCAATTTGACATGCCTAGCTAGCATAACGTTATTCGTATATTCATATCAGTCTTCATCTTCTTCGTCGTCATCGTATCGCTCTTGGTCCTCGTTTCTCGCTCTGTCGTCGTCTTCCAATTCTTTCTCCTCGTCCTCTTCGTCTTCCTCCTTGGCTGCCGGCGTCGCTGGTTGTTTCTTCGGCACGAAGTCGTCGTCCTCGTCGTCGCTCAGCCCCTCGCCGACAAGCAGGTCCATGTCATCAAACTCCTTCCTAATATCGCTCGCCTTCTTTTTCCATTCTTCTAATTCTGCAGTCATCTGATCGATTACACGTTCTAATGGTGGTATTTTTCTCTCCTCATCTTCCGCACCCGCCGACATTTCCTTGACTTGGCTCTCCAGGAATGATACCTTCTCTTCGTTTTCTTGCTCACGCTCGCTTGCGTCCTCATCCTTCTGTTCCAGATCTCGCAGATTTTCCCCAGCTTGGTTGACGCGCTCTTGCAAATTATCGATTTTCTGCAAAGCGGCACCCTCGCGTTCGTTTGCCTGTTATCACAAAGAGAATAAAGAAGAAAATTTAACAAAAGAGATTTTTCTCCCGTGTTAGCCATCGCATCTAACTTGTATAGTTACACCCAAGAAGGGGGAGAACTCCCTTATATGGGCTTTGTAGGTATGTGCGGCCCCTAAAGGGTATGGAGTTTTAGCCGTTTTGGTCAGAAATAGGGTATCGATTTCGGCCATTTTGGTCTCAAATAAGGTATGGCTTTTGTACTCTAGTCTTCCGGTAAGACTATCAGTAAAAGCCCTTCACAGTGCCTTTAACATCAGTCTGAACTAGAAAACTAAATATAAAGCAGGTCTTAAATGGGGTGTCGAATTTTTGGTCAGGTCATAAATAGGGTAGGGATAATGGCAGATTTTGATCTTAAATAGGGTAAGGGGTTTTGGAAGCGGGTTGCACACTCCCACCTAATTTGTCTTGGAGTACCCCCTCCCAGGAACTTACAATATCGACACGGACACCAAGCGCAATGGTCCATGATAAGGGAAATCGTCAGCTAATACAAGGTAATAAGTTTGTGTCAATTTACAATGGAAAATTTAATCTGTGTCCGTTTATAACAAGATGGAGTAGCCCAGAGGACTGAACCATCAAAATCTACTTCTAGATTGTTTGAATTGCTGTCTAGTCACGTGTCACCTAATGATTGTTTTGAGTAAAAGAAAATAATCTTGATGAGTCTGAAACAGTTACACTTCATCTAAACAAAGAATTTCTAGCTCGAATTGATCGGATATCGTCCCTAATCGGTTTCACTGGTCGGTATCTGGAAGCTGAAATGTGCCTGAACGTTAATTGGTTCCACGCAGCGATTAATGCAGAGAGCTCAAGATTAGGTGCTATTCTTGGCTAGCTATCTAATCTGATCTTATTATGCCTTCCCGAATGAATTCCAGTTTTGAAATGCGCCGGAGTGGGACGCGATAGTGAAAATTTCCCCTGGTGGGGACAGCCCACCGGGGAAACCGAGATAGTGTTCTTTTGTGTTAAAAGTGGCATTATGTTGAAGTTATTGAAGTGTCGTTAGTTAAAGAAGCTAAGTCGCAGTAATTTGAGTTCTTCTGGCCACGTAGTACAAAATTATCTTTGAATTAAAGCAAATCTGAAAATGATAGCTTACTAAGACGGGGAAACTCCAAAGAGATAATAATAAACCATGAAGGAACAAGGGTGCTTTAGGATGGAGAAGATTGACATGGATTAAAAACGACGAACTTTGGCTTCACTTTTCAAGATGCTCAAACCGTGACGTAGCTGCTTTGAATGCCTCCATGATCAATGGACAAATTCCGGGGTTTGTAACACATTATCTGCAATTTGCCTATCGACACTAGTGTTTAGTCATTTTATGTGTTTCCTGCTTATGTGTGTCTGCTATCAATAGGAGCTTCATGGCTCCTATTGATAGCAGAGATGCTTTGTAAGCTCCTTGAAGGAACTACCCTGAAAATTTATCTTTAGATTTTTATTTTCAAATAAAGGTGTGTATCTATCTTAACCAGATGCTTTGTTCTTTTTACCAATCGGTTTTAATTTTTTTTTTTACGAAGAGAAGAAAGGGAAATTTGGTCTTCACATGCCGCTGTTTCGAAAGCTAGCGTGAAGGTTTCATGGTGGTGGTGAATCCTGTGACTGTTTGCCATATAAGTTTCCGCCAGGCGTTGTCACGCAATTTTAAGCGGCTGACACGCACAAACCCTAACCTTGGAAAAAACCGGGGGGAGGACGAGGGTACGAGAAGTAAAAGAGAAATGGTGAGATACCAGAATTTCGAACAGAAGGTCGATTTCGATCATGATATCCTCTTGTAGTTGTTAAAATGTACGTTAGGATGGTATCAACCCCGTAAAGCCAATTTCGATGAAATGCATCTAGTTATAAATGGACTACAGTTGAACCCCGCCACCTGGAACTCAGGGAAACGAAAAATAGTTCAAGATGTCGGGGACTCGAGATTGCCGATAGTAAGTGAAAAGGGAAAATGATTTAAGTTCGAGATAGCGGGCAGTTCGAGATACCCGAGTTCGAGAGAGTGAGGTTCAGTACTGTACGCTAAATTATGGGCCATTTTACTGCAAGCAGAGCAGAGTGCATATTATCACCCCTCCCCCCTCCTTCCTTCTCCTTCCTCCAAACGAGACCGCCCTTAGCCCTTCAGTGAAGGTTTCTCTTTTGTTTGAGACTCAAAATATAGTTATACTTGATTTCGAGAGCATAGACAAGGACTTTCGAAATTTCAGCCATAGAAAATCAAAGCACTTTTATATTGACACGAAACAATCAACAAAGCCCTCTGTTTACTCCGCGCGCGTCATTCATCGAGCAAAAATTTCTGGGAGCACAATAAGGACTTCAAACGGCCATTTTGACCGAGCTGACTCTTTTTAGATTGTTAAAAGCCTTGGAAACGAATAACACATGGCAAAGCTATCACTGCGATAACAATCAGTGATTTGGGAAGTTTCATTCGGTTGTGGGGTAATATCTATTACAGGGTGACTTATCCAAATATTTTATGAGCTTTTTCGGTCACTGATTAGCTGACCAATTGGTTTTTGCGATAAGAAAATGAAAGATTAAACAACGCAGGTTTTTAGTACTGTTAATTAGTCGAGGCTCATAATTGAACAGGCCGGAAAAAGAATTCCAATTTTATCAATTTTAAAAGCGTTCGGGACGGTAGCTGGGCTATTTGGTAACCCAGTCTACTTGACAATGATCAACAATTATGTCAGCCAGAAAAATTTCGTCACGTCCTAAACATCGCCCATACCTTTTGAATTTCGTTTTCCAACTGCCCAAGTTTTTGCTTGAGTTCCGTGCTTTGTAGCTCCATGGTGTCGGCTCTTACTGTCGTCTCGGCTAGATCTGTCTCAATCTGGTGTATTCTCTCGTCTTCGTCGATCTCGACGCTCTCCAGGGTTCGCACCACTTCACTCTCCTGCACACACTTTTCCTCGTATTCTTCACTCTTCATTTTCCTTTCCTCCAATAGGACTTTCTTCTCGTCCAGCTCTTTCTGAAGAAGTGAAATTCTCTTTTTCATCGAGTCGATGTCAGACTCATGCTGGTTGTAAGTGGCTTCCACCTCTTTCATACTCGTTTTGGCATTATGCTCCCGTTCCTCGGCGTCGTCGATTTTGTCTTTGAGTTTTTGCATTCGCTCGCGAACTTTGAGTAGTACCTCGCTAGACATCTTGAATGAATTGTTTTTGTTGTGAACCAAATTTGAAAATGCTACAAAACAAAGGAAAAACGGGAAAGCACTGTTAAGGTGGCACCTCTTTTCAGCGGCGAGTGGAGATGATCGTGAGATATCGTATGGCGACTGTGGTTTATTAGGTCGGAATTTGGAAATATTCCTGGAATGTTCAGGGCGAGTCTTAAGTGCTCGAGTTCGATAACTAAAACAGAAATGAATTGTAAATACGAAAAGCCTTTTTCGTGACCCATGGACCCCGTTTAAATGGCTAAGTATGGATCGGGTTACCATCCTGCTAAAATTCCGTCTAAAAAACACTATTTATCCATACACCATTCTAGTGTCTACGACTATGAAAGAATTGTCTTAGTCGAAGAACAATTAGTTAACCTTTATTGGCATGAAGTATCTTTATCTCAGCAGCGATCGATTCCTTGTTCCTGTTCAAAACGTTTTGGCTTTTACTGTATTTAAGGAGAGAATAGATCTTTATCACGGAACCCAGCTGGTGTTCTTAAATGTAAATATAGCTGCAATTCTTGTAATCACACACTGAGATTGTGTCAATTGAATTCGACGGGTCGATAGTAATCCTTATTTCGATTCATTGTTATTAACAAATCTATATTTCATTTGAAAATATATCTGCATTTTCTACCATTTGTCGTATGCGGCTCGAAACATGTTTAGACGCATTGATCGAAAAGAGCGCTCTGTCCGTTTGTGAAACGAAGAGACTCGATAAAAACCCTTTGATGTACCCACCTCTTTTCAACATCATTCAAACGTGTCTGGAAAAATATTTAGGTTTCATTCGTCTGCTCAATTCCTTGTGCAAGAAAAAAATAAACACCTAGTGACACTTAAATCCTAGCTTTCTTTCGAAAGCCATAACTGTGAGATTCTTTCTCAATCATGGGTCATAAATCAGTTTTACTCTTTTTCAACAATATTTACCACGACCAATGTCTTTTAATCAGCAGCAAACGGAAGGCTAGCTCGATTTGCTTTTGTTGTGACAAACATTTCCCATTCTTTACGTGCTCAAGAATACGATATTTCCCTCTCAGGCCGCCCTTGTCACTACATGACGGTAAGGGGGGGGGGGGGGGGGGGGGGGGAGGGGGGGGGGGTGGGACTAATACAATACAATACAAATCTTTTAAGGAGAGACTCCCCTATAAAAAGGACGGGGTTACTCTTAGTACCTTTTAGGGGTTAAAAAGCGGTTTTCGTACCTCTTAGGAGGTTCACGTTCAGCCTCGAAAGGTCTAAAGTGAGAGCTTTTGCGGTACCTTTTAGGGTATTGAACAGAAAAAACATGACAGAAGATAATGTGTTGCCTTAGAATTGTAACTCTTAACTCGTGAAAATTTTAAGCCATGCCCAGAAAGCAGGATCTTTGTATCTCTTAGGGGTTCTTTTCAAAATTTCCGACGAGCAGCCCCATCTCTTTTAAATGAGAGTCCCCCGAGGGCCGGGGCTGTAAATGTTCCAGGAAATGTTGATTGTTTTTCAGTGCCAAGAGAGGATGATATGCTGAAGTACTCTATGGTTGTATCATTAACTCAGACAAACAAGTCAAAACAGTTTCAATCAAACTGCTTAGCCTTTTTTCCTCCCTTCCGATCCTTGGGCTGGCTGGCTGACTTGCCCAGTTCCCAGGCCTCGATATTTCGCCTCGGTCTAGCCTGAGTATCAGGCTTTTCTTACTCGCGGGGTAGGAGGAAGAAACACCCGGCAAAGTTTTCCCCCTACCCCTACTCTCTTGCTAAGAAAGGCCTGATACTCAGGTTGGCCTCGGTCAATCGTTTTTTGGGTCACGTGGTCCGGGACGTTCGTCTCAGATACGTCACCGAAATCAGTTGACCGTGAAGACCTGGGAAGAGAGGTCCCCTTCCCGCTTGTGCTTCGATGCTTTTCGGCCCATTCTTACTTCGATTGTGCAGGATTTAAGTAGTTTATTATCCAATTTCTTCCTTTTTGGCTTTCGGGAAGAGTGGAGAACCTTAGTAAGTGAAGAAGCAAAAGTATAATGTTGGTCTTAAGGCAATTAATTCCTAACCTTTCCAAAAGTGCATCGTGTCCTACGCAGGTGCCCCGAGGCCATAGAGGGGTGTTATCTTGGGGAGAGACGTATAGTGCAATTTCAGCTTGCGTGCGATTAAGTGACATAACATTTCGTGGTAGCAGTCAGCAGTACAAAGAGAAGACGACTACGCCTTCACCTGTGGCGATCACTGAAGTGTTTACTGATAGTGAGGCCGTGAAGATCCGCTGGCAGGATGGAAGCAGCACAAAATTTCATAACATTTGGCTGCGTGATCATTGCCAGTGTAAGCAGTGTTACAACTATGACACACATCAGAAAGAGCTGAACATTTTAGACGTTCCACTTGATATTCAACCAGCAAATGTGGTCATTCATGACCAAAACAACCTGTCAATCAAGTGGCCAGACAGTCATGAAACAATTTATGATGCAGAATGGCTCAGAAAACACTCTTACACTGGAGGCACCAAACCACGAAACCACAAAGAAGAGCTGTTCTTGTGGGACAAGAAAATCATTGAATCAAACATGCCTTGTGGCTTTGATTTTGCCAAGGTTCTTTCTGACGATGATGAGCTTTTCACACTCTTTCAAGGAATTATAAGGTATGGCTTTGCATTTGTAGATAACACACCAACTGAAGTTGGTGCCATAGAAGAAGTGGCCACAAAGTTGAGTGGCTTTGTCAGGGAAACCCATTATGGTAAACTATGGGAATTTTCAAATGAGGTTTTGGAACATGCCGACACTGCTTACACAGCAGCCTACCTCCGTGGACACACAGACAGCACCTATTTCACAAATCCGGTTGCACTTCAGATGTTGCACTGCATTGGACATGAAGGAACTGGTGGGATGAATTTGCTGGTGGATGGCTTCTTCGCGGCAGAAAAGCTGAAGAAAGATGACAAGGACTCCTTTGATTTCCTTTCATCAACTACACTTCCTTTTCACTACAAATCCGAGAGCCTTCACTTGAAAGCTCATGGGCCAATAATTGAGCTTGATCCCTTTGATGGTGGTATTTCCCAGATAAGGTTTAATAATTATGATATGGAAACTTTGGATTGTCTCAAGTATGGCGATATTCCTCGATATTACAAAGCTTTGAAATCATTCACTGGTCTCGCGTGTGCCCCAGAGAATCAGTTTTGGTTCAAGTTAGTTCCTGGTTTGTTGCTGATCATGGGCAACTGGAGGGTACTGCATGGAAGATCCTCCTTTACGGGAAAAAGGACAATGCATGGCTGTTATCTTAATGGGGATGACTTCTTTGGAAAGTACAGGGCAAAAGCTGCTGCCCACAGTATGTGACTTTTTACGTGCATATTATGGTAATTCACTTCAATTCATCATTTTTTTCAAACAAAGTTACTAAACTCTACACTCTCAAAAATGGCTCACTGCACATTATTAATAAATACCTAAGCAAGATTCTTAACATCAAAAATGGTGATAATAGCATATTTACAGTCAAAACAGCTCAAGCATTCCTGCCAAGGGTGAATGAATGAGTTCATTATCGGAAATTTGATTTCCTTACTCATTTCAATAGTCAGTTATTTAAGTGAAGATTGGATTAATGAACAATACACTTATACCATATTTGGAATGCTAAGCACCAGGACTTCTCCTGTAGTGGTGGGAAAGATATCAAAGATGGTTGACATCGAAGCAAGTTTTATGGAAGGGACAGAAAAGGTCGGTTTGCATCAAGATACCTGACTATTTTTGAAGAGGTTCATTTTAAATAAAGTTCATTAATCCAATCAAAATTCAAGTATTGGATCGAGTCTTGTTTTGAATTTTCTACTCTTCACTTGAATAACAGACTATTGAAACGAGTAATGAAATCAAATTTCTGATAATGAACTCGTTCATTCACCCTTGGCAGGAACGCTTGAGCTGTTTTGACTGTAGTATAGTTCCAAGTCTGATATTTTTAGACAAAATGTCATATAGTTTGTCCTTCCATTATATTAACTTAATATAGCCTTTGTTTCATTTTCATTCCTTTTATTTCCACTTATTTTATTCCTAACATATTACCATTATTACACAGCATACATTGTATCGTAGACAGTAGGTCCACATCAGCCTACAGAGCTAAAAATAATTTTCGGACCGTGGCCGGTCATGTTGACTGGCCAAAGTAATTTTAGCTCGGTCACATCTCATTTCTGACTGGTCAGGTATTTTATTCAGAATGAATAATGTGACCATGTCAACATGACATGACCGGTCAACATTACTGGCGAGTGAAGTTTTTGGCCAGTCAAGTCACCATTCTGGCTGGACATTGTCTGTTGACTGGCCATTATTTTGAGCCGCAACCTACTATAACAAATAAAGTATGCATGTATGTGTGAATGTATCTAGTATGTGATCCAAAGATTGTTATTAATTTGATAAGATGCATTTTCACTTAGTATATTCATATAGTAAAGTAAACATGGANGGGGGGGGGGGGGGGGGGGGGGGGGGGGGGGGGGGGGGGACAACGAAAACAAGGGATCGGAGAAAGCAAATCCGCTTATTACGCGCGTGACTACGAAAGGTAAAACCAAATAAGGAAAATGATCTACAGTCCCAATTTAGTGTTATAAACATGCTTGGATTGGAGAGAATTGTTGCCACATACCTACACGTCTAACTGCAAATGTTCTGAGCAACCCACGCCTTCCATGGATATTTCAGGTTGCGAAGATTCTGTCTACTTAGTTGCGTTCAGTTAAGAGACGATCTTCCTTCGATTTATGAAGAGATGGGAACATTATAAAGAGATACAGAAACAATCGATCATTCGATCTTTGTAGATACGAACTCTTCCGCAGGGGGTTATAATTTCGTTGAATTTCAGTTCGTTTTAGGTTTCTGATCAAAGATGTGTCTTCATCTGAGCTTTCGGAACGCGATTTTAAATCTCTCTTTCTCATTGACGCCAAGCAGCGCACGAATCGAAATAGAGAGAAAAACGACGTAGAGGTTCGAAAGCGATTAATTAATAAAGCAATGCATCATTGTCTCATCTTATATTCATTTATAATTTGTCTGTCGTCATTGTAGCTGATGACAGCTGCAAGTGCCTGCCTACTTACAGACCTGTGTAAAGGTACCTACAGTGTTGGGTTACACGCGAATTGTGGACACGAACTTATTAGTTAGACTTTGAAACTCGAAACGTACACCCAGGAGCGCTTGATTCTTGAAATGGATTCTCTCGGCAAAGTGGGGAGGGGGGAGGGGGAGGGGGCATAACTTTCGACAGCCGAAAAACACCGAACTGATAGTTGTTTGGCCCTCCCCACCCCTCACTGTCTGGGAGAGTCTCAATGTGCGCCATCACAGTCACCGCTGTTTTTAACATTTTTAACCTTTATCCATAATTACCCATGTGAAGGTCCTGATAATCATATCTCTCGTTTAACTGCATTTTTATGACGGTGGCCAATAAATGTAAATTGTCTAAATTAATTTTCAACTTCAATATAATGCGTTAATCGGCCCAGATGTAATTAACGAGAACTTTAAATTGAGTTTGCCCTGGGACCAAAATGTGTGCCGTCATAATTGAGATCAAGCAACCAGTTGAGATATTTTTACACAGTTTGACAACCTATGAGATACCATCTAGAAACTTATACGTTTTGGTAAATTATCTTAGGAATCTTCTACACAAGGCAACCTGTCTGCCTGAATGGTATGAACGCATTTAAATGATGACACTTATTTCTGACTAAGTATTTTAATAAAATTATCAAATAGTCTCTCTACCGTGATAGGTAAATGTCTTGCTTATCAGTTCAAGTTTTCTGGACGAGGACGTGCCATGATTCACGAGATGTTGATCAAGAATGACAGCACCTGGTAATTAGATACGACTTATTGTCGAACTGGAGGTAATGAAATAAGTGATTGGTTGATCGCCGCGCGTTTGGCTTTTTCTCCCAAATATGTTGACGAACGTCCATTTTCTGCTCAAAACATCCGGCAGTAGAGAGGTTTTGGGTCTGATTTAATCGTGATATGTACTGTTTTTTTTTTTGGGNGGGGGGGGGGGAGAGACTTTTAAGTTTAATGATTTTTAGCAGGCAACTGCTCAGAATTAATCCTTTAATATGTAAAATTCACATTTCGAGTACTCTCTTGTGTGACTTAAAGACCCATAAAAGGAAACACAAACAACTCACCTAATTTGGCAAGGTCACTCCGAGAAGTTACAGTCTCACGGCTATTTTGATTTTGAGAATTTTTCAACCAATTTTGGTTCCAACATATTTTCTACGTTTGCAGTAGACACATAAACTAGCACAAACAGACTCAAACTTCGTGGATTGATTTTGTTTCTTGATCGCTTTTATGTGCTCGTGAGGTATAAATAACTCCCGTGATCTGAGTAGAGGGTAAACCAACCAAACTAACTATCAATTGCAGGTCTAGAGTTGGCAGTCCGCTATCCGTTATCTTAAGCAGAAATGCACCTGTTACACATGTCATAACTGTCATAAACACACCTTTGGTTCAGAACTGTAGTAGCTCTAGCAGCTCTAGCAGCTCTAGCTCCTAAGCTGCTATTGTTTTTTCACTGTAGCCGCCGCAAGAGACGAAGAGACCTCATTTTCTCTTGGCAGCCGGTATTGCTTTAGGACAAGAGACCATTTTCTCTTGTTTAGGGCTAGGAGCATTGTTTCTGTTGCTTGCTCGAGCCATTCATTCTACATGACCCATTTGCTTTGTTCACCACCATGGTGGTCGAAACAAAGCATAAGATATGAGATAAACATGCTAACTTCTCATTAGGCAGTTCATAATTACACGTAGCCGTAAAAGTATGCCCATGGCAGATAATCGAACGACTCGAGAAATGTTTGAAGCTAACTCGTGATCCAGCTGTGTTTGGTGACTTTAATGACAACAAATATTGAAGTATGCCCATGGCAGATAATCGAACGACTCGAGAAATGTTTGAAGCTAACTCGTGATCCAGTTGTGTTTGGTGACTTTAATGACAACAAATATTGAAGCTTAATGATACTGGACTCTCATTGATGCGATGGGCATTGTACTCTTCAGTCCCTAGATCCTCGCCGGTACGACAAAACACATCTGGCAAATTGACAGAGTTGATAAATCGCGGTGACCGCTATTAAAGGGACAATGTCATGAACCGCGCATGTGCGACGTTTCGGTCGAAACTTGAAAAGTTTAGGCGAAATTTTTCAAGTTTAAATTCAGCAAATTCAAAATGGCGTCCACCAGTGGAGCCAGTCGTGATGTGTGAACAAGAGGAATTTGACTGCTATTCATACTTTATTAATATTCATTTGCCCTCGTGCATAGTATATAAGCATGCCTTAATTATTCGTAGTTGTCAGTTTTACCTAACTTTGGTTGGAATCGTCCCACCCACCCGCCCCTTCTGCTTACTCTATTAGCACCTTTCATGCTTTCCCCAGCGAGCTTGCTCGTCTGGGGTGACTTTCCCAGAACTAAATGCTAAAGAGTATGCAAGAAGGATAATGAACAATGAATAGCCCATGCTATTAAAACACAGGGAGAAAGCTGTCATAAAGGGATAATCTGGAAGGAAGGTGGTTGTTTTGGGCCAATTTTCTGTCAATTTAGGGACCGCCTGTCAGTCCTTGATACGATGCTTCCACGTAGTAAATACAAAGTCTAATGGCCAGTTGAGGTACTCAGCTCATCTTAACCTCCTTATCATAAATGTCCTAGGAATCTGTGTTCACTTAGCTTTTAAATGACGCAATGAACGTATAATTCTGTGGAAATATGCTAGACAAAATAATTGAAAAACAGCGTGTGGTTTGAGACGGTTAACAGTCAATTTGACGGATATTTTAGTGAAATACGGCATGATATTTTGGCTATTATTACATCGTGGCCTAGCTTCAGATCGTAACGTAGTGCGAAATTTACATTCACTTAGCTGTCAATTGGTGTATTACTTAAGAAATCTGTTGAGATTCACCGGAGAAAAAAATGTTTACATGACACGGTTAGCCTCGTGAAGTTGAAAGATACTTGGCTCATGTTGCAATTCGACAACATGAGTGAAAAACGGCGTGGTTTTTAGGCCATTAAACGCATCTTGACCTTTAAATCGTGACAAGAATCAGATGTCACATGCAATATCACAAGTTTCTGGTTGCACAAACTCACTTTGACGAACGGACAGAATAGAGCCGGGGACATTAAAATTCTGAAGTCGTAACTATGAAGATCATCTGTGCAGGATTTCTAAAAAAAGGAACTAAATCAATTGCCAAAGCCTTGCGGCACCTTGGATTTACAGTGTTCGACTGGGAAGAGCAAACGTTTGACTTCCTAGATCACTAGGTTGATGTGTTTCAAAATGGCGCCAAACCTGATGGGAAGCGAGTTTACCAGAATGCTGATGCATGCGTGGACACGCCTGGAAACTTCTTCTTGGAGGAAATACTGGAAGCTTTACCTGACTGTAAAATGATTTTGAGCAAATCGAGTTGAAAGTTGAAAGTTGAATCGAAGGACCGATGGAAGGATCAAGTGAATCTCCCATCCATACCTACAAAGCCTAAAAATACTCAATTCTATAAAAAAAATATTGAGTCTTCATAACACGTGTTTAGAGCTTTTCGAACCTGTAACGGGCAATACATCATGCAGTATAGATATATGTTATTTACCAGCTGGGCGGTCGGTTTATGTATAGTAAAAAAAAGAGTACGAGTTGCTCCCCGATGCCGCAGGCTTAGGCAGCATTTTCAAGTCCGAGGTCACAGTTTTTCACTATACGGACTGACGTACCTTACGCCGGTAAATAATAACTTCTTTATTATTTTCCTCTCTCTCTCTCCCTCTCTTCTCGGACCGGACTCGAGTGAGGGGCGGAAATCGAGCCTATTGCTTTATCCGCACAAAAGATGTCAGCAAGAACTGAAAACTAACTGTCAATGTGTGTCATTTTCACTCTGAAGAAAGTTCTATTCTCCGCTGACACGTCAAATCATTTCGGCGATACTAGCAGTTTGTTTTTCACTTTCAATAGGAACGCATATTCGAGGAAAGCCCTAAACCAAATGATATCCGTACTGACAACCCTAAAAAGCAGTTCGACTTCCGCTCTCTTGAAGAGTCGTATCTAAAATTATGTCTGATTTGATTGACCTTGTACGAATCGGCTTTCGCTTTCTTGTGTCTGTCGTACTAATCCTATTCACTTGGTTTTCACTTTCTTTTCCACCTCCAATGACGGCGATGATGATAAATGAAACTTTATTTAAGTGTCAAGGCCTTATAGTTCTACTACAGTTGTGGTTACACTACTGATCACTTTTTTGTTCTCTCAACTATTAGCCTGGGGAAGGGTCTTGAAGTGGCCGTGATTTCAAACATTTCTTATATGAACAGCATTCAAACTATAACAGTGACTTCATTAATAAATAAGGTTTTACTGATTTTGGTGTTAAGTTTAGAGCGGTTCTGATATTTTTGAAATCCAAGATGGCGGACTTATCGAATCATCCAAAAAATGGGGTGATTTTTGTTGCAAAACTTTATATGTTGCCAAAGGAAAGAGGGGGAGGTGATACCGCCCCAATTACGTATAATTTCACCCTGGGAATGTTAAATTTTTTGTAGTATTAGTTCATTTAAACATACCATTATTGTTTTGGACTAATTTTAAATCGATTCATGCTGTTTTTAGATGTTTGAAACAAATAGTAAAATCCACCATATTGGGACTCAAGATGGCGTATTAAAGGACGTCATATCATAGTGTATGACGTCATTACTACTTTATCTTATAGGACAAAGTTCAGGATAGCTACTAAAATCAAAATTTTATCAACGCATCTAATAGCAATGAAAGTCGAAGGTTTATGTCGTCATATCCCCTTTCCTGCATCGTTTGTTTATTTCTTTTTCACTTTTCTGAAGTCATGAATGTTGTCAGTAACAACACTATAATACTAATTTGAGGTACACTTTCTCGATTGACAAACTGCCATATTTTTGAAACTCTACGCTTAAATAGCCTCGAGTTGTTATGTCCAGAATAGGAGGCAATGTAGCTTCTTTATTTGCTTTAATACTCCGAAACAAAATGGCGCAAAATATATACAAAATATCGCAAGGCACGATGGTCCATGTAGTGCTTACGTCACCGGAAATACAATCGAATTACATGTCTTGACATACACTGTTAATAACGTTTTCGTAACAACCCTCTGCTGATCGGTTCGTGTTTCGCTTTCTAGAATGTAATGCTTCAAATGCTGCACCGAATGTGTGAAAATATATCCCTTGATGAGGTTGACTGTTGAGAGGAACAATGCTACCAGGCTAAATTTACTCCCTTAAGAGACAGTACGCTTAGTCAAACAGTGGGTGAGTTTTGTTATTATTGTTTTTTTTTGCTGGTTCCTTTCTCCTCTGTGTATCTTTCAAAAAGAGCGATGTTATTCTGCTCCAAAAAATGTCCAACGTACAGATTGCTATACGGGTAGAAAGTGTTAATTCTTGAGAAGTTAAAAAGGCATTATCGTGAACATTAATCGGTAACTAGACTATGTGTGGAGTTATGGCCATATTGTCCGCTTGATATGACAAAAGGATATTGTTTATCACCAGGTTATGTGAATTGGGCAAATTCAACACGAGAAAAATGCTCAAATTGCTTTTTGCCACCGAGAAGTAAACCATTGTGCCAACCCCAGTAACTCAATCATATTTGAATTATACATGCAAACTTTTAGTAAAATGAGTTTCACTTGTTTTGAGTGCTATAGTAGGCTGCAAACCGCCGCGGTCAGTTCTTTATGAAATTTCCTATAAAACTCTAAAAGTAAACGTCTTCTTTTATTGCCAGTAAAAAGAAACTAGAGTGAATTTTATATTTCAGTACACTTCCTCTCTGCTTACATTAGCTACCCGCAAGTATTGATTTGCGAAAATTCAAAGAAAAATATATGGTATGTCAATAAATGATAAACCCCACAATTTCAGTTTCTAGGAATTAGGATAAATGCGCTGACTTGAATTAAACGAACGAAATGTAGCTGATAAGCTGTCAATTTTTGAGCTATGTTCTAACAAATAACCAAATACAGAAGTCGAATATTAAACGTTTACTTCTTTCCTACGCAAAACCAACAAGAAATTCGTTTCGAGAATTATCAGGTTGCTAAAACTTCGCTGGAAAACTGTCAAAATATTACATACATGTGTTAAAACGGAAAACTAAACTAAGTCATCGTTTAAAAATATTCAATCTATAGGCACTGATAAATCGGTAATCAGAAAAGGACTATCCGAGGTTCCAGCATTCATTGCGGCCAACGCTACAATGATCATGGCTGAACATGAAGGTGTCGCACCACTACCACCTGAGGAAACAATGGATTTTGATGACGAAACTTTAAAAGGTGAGGAAACAATAACAAATTTAAGCAGATTACTTTGAAATTTAGCACTCGAAGGCATTGCTACATGTTAGAATGCAAGTTTCAATACCAAATTTGCTATGATGATGTGCAGTGCAGTTAAACCCAAGTTAAGGTAACTTGCAGGCTATGAGACAAAATACCGCCACGTCTTTTTGAACCTTGTACCCTAACAGTGTTTCGATTCGCCTCTTTTAGCAATAGCAGAGGTTTTCATGAATCAAGGTGATGAGGAATACAGCAAGGACGATTTTAGAAACGCCACTGACTTCTACACAGACGGAATTAACGTGAACTGCAAAGATGAAGAACTAAACGCCAAACTGTACAGTAACAGGGGGACAGTACAGTTTCTTAGGGGTGAGTACTTTTTCATTCAGTTGTAAACTTTTCTGTTTTGCTCGTTTTACATATGCGTCATTCCTTGGCCCATATAAGGCCTGACGTCAAATTTTTTCAAACATGTAGATGTCCATAGAAACTTACAGGTGTCTTGACAACTGAAATAACTAGTACTAAAATAATATATTTTGTTGTGGCCAGACTCTCGTTAATTTCTTTAATAAGGGAATCTTATATTGAAACAAATTTATCCTGACACGGGACAACGCTTCGTCTCATTGTTTGTCTTCCTCTCTTTCCTCTTGTGATTCGCCTTTTTCTTTCCTTAGTTTTCATTTTCCAATTTTATCGCCTCTGTGCATTGCTTAATCTATCTCACAACTGTTTTTAATTTGTTCACAGAGAATTATTATGATTCACTGAGTGATGCCCAATCTGCCACTGAATTGCAACCAACTTATCTCAAGGCCATTGTTATAGGTGAGGTTTAGAACAGTTTATCGCGTGTTTTCCATGCCCTGAAGACCAAAACCATGAAACTCAAAAGGAAGTTTTATCAAGAACTGCAACGGTAGTGTTTTGTAAACAAGACTATTATTACTCATTCTAGTCAGGAGCTAATTTTAATCTCCTTTGAATTTGTTGAATAAAATTGATCACGTTATGACGCAGGATAAAAGAAGGTCATCTTGATCAAAACGACCATTTTAGGATAAAAACCAGCCAGACATGAATATTAGAGCCATGCTTGATGTCATTCATGCCCATCATCATAATTTCTTTTAATTCTATACCCCCGGTCACGCAGGAACACGTAAACTTAGTCACTGTTGTATGCATGTAGTTCATAGCGCAATTCATTTTTGGGCGTTGCAACAATAATGCGAAGGTCGAAACACTGACATTTTGCAAGGTTTCTTTACAATGGCTTGCCTTGTAAACTCGACTGCAATGATTTTTTTTTCTAGAATCAGACATTCCTTTATTTGTTCTTAGGGGCGAGTGCCTGTGCTCATCTGTACCAGTTTGAAGAAGCCATCACGTGGTGTGATAAGGGATTAGCAGTATCCTTTTTACATCATTCCGATCAATGATCGTAGCATGAAAAGTATTTAAGCATTTTCTTTGTACTCAAAAATAACAGGCGAAATGATATAAAGCAATTTCTTGAAGAAATTCCATGCCTTACGGCTCCACACAAACTCAAAACGTTCACATTGCCAGCCTCTATCTATGGACAAAATCTAAGCAAATGTATGTTTTAAGCTTCTCGAGTAGTTCCTTAAAAGTATCACCTTTAAGTCAGAGCTTCCCTAAATCTTTAGGAAACAACTTTGGGAATATTCCGGTGACATATATAGGCTGTTACTGGATTGGTATTCGTTATCCTCTTTATTCCATTTTCGTGTTATTTTATCACCACTACTTACCGAGAAAGTTTCTTAAAAATGACAAATGATGCGTTATACTCTTTAACTGTCGGAAGATTGACAAGGATAACAAGTATTTGTTGGAGTTAAGGACAAGGTGTGTCGAGAAACAAAACAAGCTGCAGGAAACAGGCCGGGACAAAGCGGCGAGTCAGTCAGAAACACAAAGTGAAACAGGCACGGTAGGTTAATAAATCGCGCGTATCAAATTTTTAAATTACAGTAATGAATTGAATGTCATATCCAGTATCAAATGACAGAAATCAAGTTCTTGTCAGTTGAATGTACTAGCTGTGAAACTATTTTGTTTTTTGGAATTAGTCGGGTGAATGTCATTTGAATAGAACTTCACAGGATCGGAGCAACGAGTGTATTAAACAGATGTCCCAACTAAATCATTTAGAAGTTGAGAGAACCTACGTAGGTAATAGTCTTCAGGTCACTGACAAAATTATACGGTTGTGTACAGATTTTGAATCGTCAGAGCGCAAAAAGTATGTTAAAAATTAAAGAAGGTATACCACACCAATGGTCAGTGGCAATTTTTTTGTACGAGCCGTCATTTGAAGGAGGCAGATTATTTGCAAAGCTACCGTTAGCGGTGTAAACTCTAAAAACATATATGTCATCAGGCTAAACTGTGTCGCTAAAGTCTACGATTTTGATTCTGTCTTCTAAATCAATTGTTCAGGCCTTTGAAAAGCTGATATGATGTTGGGAAAGTAAACATCAAATTACTGTATAAGGCATTTCAACAATTATAGAAAACTTTTTGACTCAAAACTCAGTGAAAGAAATCCTCAATTCCCTGTTACAAAGTAATTTACGTACAAAAAAGATGAACAAGAGATAAAACAGATGATATAACGAAAAAGAAATTATTAAAATAGCCTAAACGTTAACGTCTAGAAAAGAACAATTGTTGAATAGGGTTTATTTTTTCTACTCGCCTTACAGAGCTTGGAACGTTCCGGAAGTTTTGGAATTTTGGCCAATCCAAGCCAATGCGGTCTTAGAAATGGTGACTTCTAGAGGGATCATTTTAAATTGTCCTGAGCAAATTTGATGAAATGATGTGACATTAGAAACAATCACCACCACTGTGTCCTCTCACTGTGATGGTATAGGCACCTGAGTATTCAGGGATTCAAAAGCATACTTAAATAAGTTCAAAACTATCTCTTTCCTGGCGTTTGCATTGTAACTCATATTTAAAGTACCTATTTGCTTAACCCATTAAAGTGCCACTAACCCCCAAAATTTTTTTCCTTTAGTAAAATCTACTAGTTTCCCGGATTACTTCAGCGAAAAAATTATCTCGATTGATAAAATCCCTGCGTTTCTAAAAGCGTTTAAACATGTAATTTCTATGTTCACGACCGCGCAAAGTG